AGGGCGCTTTAATTTGCGTTTTGAAAGCAAGCCGCTTCAACTTAAGGTAAGGGTTAGGGTTAGGTTTAGGGTTAGGTTTAGGGGTTAAGTTTAGGTTTAGGGTTACTTTTATAGCGCGCTTCTGTCTCCGCGCTGTTGTCGCCCTGTTGATGACATCAGCGACGCGGTTTAGTCAGGCGCGGTTTAGTCGACCGCGGTTTTGACGGGTCACGATCAGGTGCATTGGCAACTCAGACTTTAAAATTTAAGTTGGGTAGAGGACAGTGTAAGCAGAAGTACTTTTTAAAAATCACTTTGGACATACATATTTTCTTTAATAATCACAGCCTAGGGTCTTGGAATAATAGGAAGTGCTTCTAACCCAACTATTTAGATATTATTTCTCTCCTTCTAATTTATTTTTCCCATATAAATATAAAACTCTTTTCTACACTTGGATATCCTGAAGATGTTTCAGGACTATTTAGATTAGTAATTCCTGTCTAGTTTTGGCATTACTTCAGATGTTGTCTGAAGCTGTGGCTTGCCTTCCTGTGCTTCACTGCAGGATACAATACCTAAGGGAAATTTTTAAAAATAGAAAGCTTAAATCTGCCATCTGAATGCCCAGTAACCTTTTGCTGGATGCACATCGAGCATCCTGTTTGATTTGCCTGTGATAAAAGAGGTCAGCCCCACCTATACTGTGAATTGTTCTTGCAATTGTTGCTTGGTATATCTAAAAAGTGCTTTTTCGAAAGGCAACTGGACTGTTTGTTCCTTGAGGTAGAAGACAAAAAACAGTCCAGTTGAAAAAGCACTTTTTACACAACTATGACCTGGATGACTGAGAATCTCCAGACAATGCCTGGTATACTTGTCAACAGTAGTTCAATCCAGATAATGGAGTTTGCTTAGATTAAACTGTGTAGGGGTTGTAAAAAGTCTTCATCTATCCAAAGACTAAAATATTTCTGATTCCTGAAAAGAGACATTACTAGGCAGCATTGACACTGATAGGATGTGGTTATAAAAACTGGTTCTGGATGCTGATATTATGCTTCTCTCCATAATTATAGGCGTATATCTTCCTCTGCTTATTTCATACAGTTAAATTAATCTGAGAGGTGCTGAATGTATATTGTATCTCTGGTGGCAAAATCAAATTAGTGTTTATTTATGTAGCGCCAAACAGCCAAAGGACAGATTTGAGAGTTTGGATTCTAAAAACAGATTCAGGGGAAAGAACAGGTGGCAGGCAGCAGCTATGTAAAAATGGAAGCAGAGAAGACAATGTCATAATCTCAGGTATAGGTATTCCCTAGTATTTATCTTAGTATTCATTACAACAGGACATCATAGTCAAATTGGCTACTTTTTGGTGTACTTTAAATATTACAATCCCATAATCAGGTTTATGAGAGTTGAGATC